GCGACTAGGTGACAATTTATGGGAAAGCAGATGTCTGTTTACTTTTTAAAAAATGTTATGTAGAGATAGCAGCTGGATTTTAGTAAAGAATGCAAATTTTGAGGAATAAGTCTTTGGGTCTTCCCAAAGACCTGTAAGATAAAGGGTTTCGTCCATAAGCTAAAAAGCAAGCTACATTACAGATCTCCATGAATTATTGACCCTGCTAGAGAGAGGGTAAAATTCATGACGATCAAGATCTAGTTATATAAGCACAGCTATTTTCCCAATTATGATTGGCTAAAAGCACACGCATAATTCACCATAACCAGTTACTGATGACCAAATTTGGAAGAATTTTGTGTTTAAAGAGGAAAGGACTTCAAAAATGTGGCCCGCTACCGGTTAAGGCACCGTTACCGAGAAGACCTGGGGACGAGGTTGAGTTGTTTCGGTTGTGAAAAAAAAAAATGGCGGACATTTCACTCGTTTCAAGAGTAAAAACTACAGCTGGAACTAGGCGAAATGATAGCTAGAAACATGTCAAAAACAGCAAGAAGACAACTCGGAGGGCGACATATTCTATTTGGAGAATATTTGCGGAGCTGGACAAACCTAAACGTACACTATCGAAGGTGAACTTAACATCGATGCAGGTAAGCATGTTTTAGCTATGTTTTTAAAGTAGGAATTATCGTGAATGAATAATAAAGCAATTAATTAACGCGCGCTGTGATTGGTCCGCACCGAAGTGAATGTCTTTTTTCATTTCACCTCCAAGCGACCGTTTTGTCCGTGTGAAAGAGCATCGCGCCCAGTTGTGCCCAGATGTATATCATTTTTTAGATAAAAAGTTTAGACAGTTTTTCACCACTGTTTCGGTGAAAAGGGAAGGTACTAATCGAGCTGCAGTAAGGTGTCATGAAATTAATTTGTGTCACGGTTTGTTTGGTCAGGCGAGGAACCTTATGAAAGTGTGCAACAACACAATAAAGGAACGTTGGATCGATTCAAGAAGATGATAAAAACAGGACCAAAGGTATCGATATACTCTCACTGTTGTAAATCAAATTATTATGATTGACTGAGGCGCTGGGGGGGGGGGAGGGTTCCTGTGTTGGAAAAGATGGGATGCGCATTGGAAATTCAGAATTAATCCCTAAATGATAATAATCTGGGCTTAGGTCAACTCAGTCATTAACCCTTTAAGTCCCGATGGTGACCAAAGTCAATTTTCTCCTAACAATATCCAGTAATTGTCAAGAGATACAGTTATGAGAATTAACAAATGATCACCAAAGAGAAAATACCTTGATCTGTTATTAAATTCTCTCAACTGATTCTGGAAGGAAATGTACGGAGATCAGTTGGGAGAATTTGTATGTTGATATTGGGACTTAAAGGGTTCAATGTAAGAGTAAGAACCTGTATTTTCTCAAGAGCCCAAAACAGATTCTTACATAAATGGTAATGAGCACAAATTAAGGTAATTTATGTTCTTAAATAGGTTCTTATATTCTGAAGACAGAATACATTGCAGCCAAGAGTTTTTAGTGGTATTCAGCTAATCCCTTATACAAAATCTGCATACCACTACACTGCAGTTGGAGTTATAAAGCACCCATGTCTCCAAAGAGGATCCTGAATGTTGACTTATCTTTTTTCCTAAGTGCACAAAAGTTTTTTTTTAGATTTTGTGAAAAAAGGTACAATAAGAACCTGTTTCAAATTTCAGGCCAAACATTTTCTTGTATAGGGGGGACCTAACTGACAAATTTTAGTCTAACAGTTTCTTAAAAACCAGGTTATATCGATACGCCCGCCTTAATTAAAAAGGTAAAATTAGCCAAAAATGTCGGAAAATAAATTCTTGCTTATTAGTTTCTACTTTGACAATTTATTTGTTTAATTCTTTTTCCTTTGGTCTGTTACCTAGTCCTCATCCATATTACCATTTTTATTTCATTTATTTGTAACTAACTGTAAACTTTCCTTAGTTAATAGCCTTAGTCTTTATTTCTTATATTTTGCACGCATTGTCCCGCCTCGAATAGCCTTGCTAGCTGCGGGCAATACTTTTGTAATTTTATTTGTTTATCAATAAAGTTTTGTTGTTTGTTGTTTTGTTCTTACCCGTGGGTTTTTACTGTATTTGTCTTGCAGAGCTCTTTACCCAAAAGGCTGTCTGATGTAACCACAGCGCCTCATGGATTGTCAAGATCCAACAGTTCAGGAGGCGGAGGTAAACTTTTGAGATAGGAGTAAAATACCTAGGTTATATCCTGTCCTGCGTAAATCGTTGGTTGAATTTTGCGTTTGGGAGCCGACAAGGTTCACAGTATGTACCGCTCACTGATATACATTTCCTTTCTTTTCAGTGACTTTACAGCTGGATGAATTGGGTAGGATACATAGTTTCCTCTTACTTGACTTTTTTACGTAGAGTTTAACGCAATTTCAGGCAATTTTACTACATACAAACTGGTCTTAGAATTGTCTTTAACTTCAAAACTACTGCGTTGGATACGAAACAAAAAATACAGAAGTGTCCAACTTTTGCATCTAGGAAGATCGAAGGAGACTCTGCTCGCAGGGTAGTCTGACTCCTATGCAGTTGTCTTCGTGTCAACACGCAACGCTCCTCCTTGTGTTACGTGACGACAAAAAGAACGTTTGAGTGTACAAATGTGATGGGCCTTGTTTCATCTTTAAAGGAGTGATTATTCAGAGGGCATATAAGTAGCAGAGGCAGGCAAAATCTCTGGAAAAAAAGTATAGTGTGCCATAGTGCCAAAAACATTTTGGGCATAACCGGCATTTTTACATGAAAAGGAAAAAGGACGTGATATCACCGGTTTTATACAATGAAAAAGAAACTGACATTCCCATGCTGCCATCGCTCTCTCCTTTATGTTTGCGTGATGTTTGCGGAAAAAAAAGTTTTTGTTTTCTTCTACCATTGGACTCCATGGTCTTTTCTGGCGACCACCTTCTGTTAAAAAACAAAAAAAACATAGGTTTGTCAAAAGCATAAACGCGAATTTTTTCTTTCTAAATTCGTGAGGGTGTCTTGGTGATGGTGATGGAAAAATTGATTTAGGAAAAGTTACGAGTCCATTTGTAGAGAGTCAGTTTGAGTCTAGCCAGAGTAAACAGCCGATTTTCGTGAGGCCACCACTTGTTTCCCTACGAAATGACGTCTGAGCAACGACTGCAGAAATGAGCCATTTTCGAGTTCCAAAAATCTCACTTTCAAAACGAGGCTGTGTTGAACTGTGTTGTGAAAATGAGTTTTATTTGCATCATAATTAAAAATCATTTTCGTAGCAATGGCTTCGCACTTAGCCTCGCTTTGAAATAGAGGCTTGAGGCAACTTGGAAATAGCCTATCCATATCAATGACTTGTCATTACCCGGATTTGGGCATTGCTTCTGACTGGTCGTGTCGCGAGAGAAATTTGCGTTAACCAATCAGAAGCACTACCAAGATCTGTGTAGTGAACGTCAGTATGGAATTTCTGCAGCGCTGCTCAGACATCATTTCGCGGGAAACCTGTGGTGACGTCGCGAAATATCGGCTGCTTTCTCAGGCTAGTTCAGTCGAGTCCTAATCACATTCCCAATGGCTTCACATACGAGTTCATGATAGTTTCTTTTGTTTCCGCAGGATTCAAGAAACATGTATCACGTCCTAAAGGACCTCGAGCCTGTCCAAAACAATGGCCACAATTCAATTTATGATAAGTAAATTTTTGTGCTGTGTGTAGCTTTTTGGAAAAACAGCTTTTTGAAAATACCGTATTTATTCGATTAACCGCCCTGGGCGCTTATTAAATTTTTGGACCTTGAGAGTGGGCGCTTATTCGAGGTGGGCGCTTATTCGAGGCTGGGCGCTTATTAAATTTTCACCATTTTCAGCAAGTGAAGTATGTTTATTCATTTTGCAGCAAAACAATAAATGCTAATAACAAAACGCGAAGAAGTAACAAAGCAGGGTTTCTGTAAAATACTCTGAAGAAAACTCCGTCCTCGGGGAAGTCTCTTAATAGAATTTATTCACTCACGTGGGTGGGGTGGGGGCGAGCGCTTATTTGAGTTTGATTGGGAGGAGGAGGAGGGGGTGGGCGCTTATTCGAGGCCGGGCGCTTATTAACTTTTTTTGCCTTTAGGATGGGCGCTTATTCGAGGTTGGCGCTAATTCGAGGTTGGGCGCTTATTCGAATAAATACGGTAGTTCAAACAAAACTGATTAACACCGGTGTCTAACACCAATTAATAAACCGTTAAGTTCCAGAGGTGTGCAATCTATGTTAATAATTCATACGAATGCAAATTCATCGGGGGTTTTGACTCAGAAAGAAAGAGAAAAACGAAAAAACAACAACAACAAAACAAAAACAGATTGAATTCTTTATATTTTTTGATTTGGTGGT